ATAAAACCAACAGACAATTTTTAAATACTTGGGAGTCCAAATAACATCAAAAGCAGGAAGCAGCGAAGAAATACAATCCAGGATTGGCCAAGCAAGATCAGCCACCAGACAGCTACACGGACTATTATGGAATAAAAAAATAACAAAAGAAAATAAAATAAGAATTTATAAAACAATAATAGAAAGTATTGGACTGTATGGCGCCGAACTCTGGGAAATAAACCAAAGAAACAAATCAAAAATTAAGGCCATGGAAATGAACTACTGGAGACGATGTTGCCAGCTCACTAGACTTGATAGGGTGAGAAACGAAGATATTCGGAGAGAAATGGAAATCGATCTAGACATAATAGACACAATCGAAGCCAAAAGACTTAACTGGTTTGGACACCTTCAGAGAATGCCGGAAAATAGATGGCCAAAAAAATAGAAGAATGAACTCTCAAAAAAAAAGCAAAAAACACTCTATTTATTCGCATTAACTCTGTAGTTAATAATGTTCATATTCGAAGATACGAAGATTTAGAAATTTCAAACGGACATTAGGCTTCATTTAGAGATGTTTCTCAAATGAAAACAAACAAAGCACTGATTTATTGCAATCTATGCAAACGACCTGACGCGATACCGAAAACTTAAGAGTCATATGTCAAACAAATTCCAAATTTCCAAATTCCGAATGGTGTAATCTTTAGCTCAATTATCTAGCTTTCAAAGTTTCAATAAATAAAGTTTGTAACCAATTACAAAGTAAATGTTTATAAAACTTCTATTACAATAGTTTGTCCACTTTGTAAGCTTTACGCATAACTCATTGGACTTTAACTCTCTCGCAATAGCAAATAAAGTATAACTAGCTATCTCAAAGCTGTAAGCTGTACTTTTATTCTTGGTTCATTGTACTTCTGAGCCCCTCAATTATAACATCTCACATACCGTAACATATAATTGTGAAGCATTATTAAACTAAAAAATACATTTAAACTAACTCGCAGAACCACGTAAAGAGTTTTCACTATTATATAATTAGACAATTTTTATTTATTTATATAAACAAGTTCCGTGTTCAATATTGGTTAATAATTATGTGTTGCATCACTTCCAGTTGTGATAGTCGTGTAAATTTTTTGACGAAATGCTGTAGTTATATAACGCATTTGTATATGAATAGTAGAATAATTATGTATTATTCATATGTTTATAAAATTGTTTGTATCGTCACATTCTGTCACTAGTGACAAATTAATGTATAAATATGTGTTTAGACTGTGAAGGTTCTTCTGAACGGATTTATTATTATCAATATTATTAAAACCATGAGAAAAACATTATTTTTTTAAAACAGGGCCATTAAAAGTTCTTTGATAATGGACATCGCATCAGGAGAAAGTTTAAAAATAAATGAGTTCACTAAAATTGTTCTTAAAAATTACTATAATAGGTAGTATTACCAGGTAGGTATTTTTATACAAAAAATCACAATCTACTCTAGAATGACATCGATCTGCGGATGATTAAATAAATTTGTTAAATTGGAGTCTGTTTTTAAGTCATCGCCTTGGTTCTACATTTAAAAAAATGGTGGTACAAGTTTATACACTGCTCTAAGTAATTAGCACACCAATTACTTAATATTTTTAGAAAATGATCGCCAATTTAAACAAATTGTACAGTATTTTACTATATTTTGAATGTTTCCTGTATAATGTTCCCACTACCCCTAAATTCATATATCCAAATCAGTACTATTCACAAATGATACGACAAACGTTATATCAGGAAAAAATATTGATTTTTCGAAAAATTACCAAGAATGAAAAAGTAACTTTATTTATTGTACATGTACTACGAAAAACATTGGATTAATGAGCGTCTCATTTTATGCCAAATGATATTATCAGATAAAAATCGTTATTTAGACATACGAAATATAATTAAACAAGTTTAAATGGAAAGATCTAATCATAGAAATTCATATTATGACTTTCATATTCATTTTATATACTTACACAAAGCTAAATGTTCAAAATGCGTGTTAGTTAGTGATATATACAAATTATTGTGGGCAAAAGCATGCAAAAAGTACTAGCAAACAATTTACTATTGTGGGTTGATGAGCATCATTAATATTAATAATGTTCAAAGGCGAAACACGTTTTAGAAATTATAGTACAAGAATTATAGTTCGTGTTCGTATTGGCACCTGTGCTCTATGATTTTTTCTATATTACTACATTCTTTTGACAAGATAGTATTACATGAAAAGATCAATAGATACTGACTGTCAGGCACCGGGTTAAACCGCGTTATTACTGCGCCGAGCCTCGCCCAACTGATCATTAATCAGTAGTAGTGTAGCGACTAGTGATCAGTGTAGTAGTATCTGTGGGCTTGAGAGACAGACCTAGGAAGCCTAAAGTAGATATCAGAGATGATGTCGAAAGTTCGGCGCTGTAATAATCAACGCGATTCAACCCGGAAGCCTAGCGAGTTTAATATTAATTTTTGTAATACTTATATATGTAATATTTTGTATTACATAATATAATGTATATTTTGTAATACGCTTTTAGGATATTTTACATTTCCGTTACCGGTTAAGTGTTTTGTTTATACCAAGTTAATCAAATGATTTTTAAGAATTAACTCACTCTCGCCGAGGCCGTTGTCAAGAGCGGTTGACTTCGGTATTGGAGTCCTAATTTTCATCAAAGTCGTAGCTTTTCTGTTTTTTCGTCTTTTTTATGGAAAATATGTAGTGTATAGTAGCAGTTCAATTAATAGTTACAGTTTTAACTGAGATTGGAAATGTTGGCCGTTGTAAGTGGTCGTGTTTAGGTGAGTCGGAAAGAAACCGGAGAATTTATAGAAAATAGTGAATTATACTCTATGTATTTTTCTATTTCTATTTTTCCAAGTATCTAAAAGATTTTTGTCGCTTGCAACAACTTTGAAGGATAACAACATATTCCGTTGTTGAGTTTTTAAGAAGCCGAGTCCAAGGTTTGTGTTCCACTGCCCCAATTTCCTGTCCTATCGCAGTTTGGAGATGAATTTGTTCGTGTGGCGGTGAATCTAACTCCAGTTAGAGGAAATATAAAGTACAGAAAACTTTAGTGCAGTCCAGGTAACTTTTGTGTTTAAATTTTAAAAGAAAAATAAGCATAATTATTCTCAGATTTAAAACTCAGTATTGACATCTGACAGCTGGTTTTATTTTTTTGACATTAGTTTAAAATGAATAGTTTCATTTTAAAAGATATTTATTTGTTTTTAATCATTTATTTCTGCCACAGATTATAGGCCAGTAACAATTTATTGTAGGTTTTGTAGTATCACCCCAACTAAACGGATGTTTTAAACGGATAGGACATAGTAAGTTTTTGTTCTTTGTTATTTTGGTATAAACCTTTGTAACTATTAATATAGTATTTTGTGCCATTTACATTTGTAACTGTTGAGACAACAATAAATGTTTAATTTATTTCTCTAAATTATTTTGTTTATTTATTTAGAAAAAAGTTCCTAACCTCTATTTTGTGCTTTTAGGACAGAAGAATCTATTCTTTCCTCCAGCAGGAAGTCTCCTCGAAACGCCGTCCCATTTTAAATAGCTAGAGGTCCTTCTTGTTGTTTTGTTTGCCCACTTGTCCAGGAGATTCATGTAAGTACCCCTTTGTTTCATTTTGTAGTTACTCCAATCCAATCCCCTTGCCATTTACTTATCCATAACCCTAGCTATCCAAATAAACCCTGAGCACAGTTCGCATAAGTTTCGATTTATTTTGCTTGCCCTATCTCCACCTCCAGTAATTTCTGTCCCCAATTTTCAACCCCATATAATAATACCCTATGTGGTAGGCAAAATATTTCGTTACGATTTGCAGTAATTGCAAAATTTTGGCCTAGATGCGGGTTCTTCTTTATCTCCAATATGATCACGGAAGAATTTGAAATATACAAAAAATACTTAAACCCCACAGTATCTTGGGTATTTGGATAATGTATTGTTCCCCAAACGGCATCATAGATTAAAATCATTGGACAAATACCTGATGGACATTAACAACGAAGAGAAATCGATAAAAATTACAACTGAAAATGAAAATAACAGCTCACCATCACGACGTAATTATGTGGCTGCATCCTAAGAAACACGGTTATTTTAAGTCCTTTTTACTTCTTATTTTTAGACAGAATATGATAAGGTGTTATTAATATCACGTCGCTCAGTTTTTTAAAAACAGTTATAACTACTACTCTTATAATTGCTTTTTAACAAAACAATTTCAATTAATGGTCAAATTATTATTTGTCAAATCGTTCATTACTAATTATTGCTAAACTAACAAAAACACAACTACTTTTTGCAAAGCCATACTACGTTCTAATTCTACAACTGCGATCCAAAAGTTTTAAACAAAAAATGACTAATTAAGCCCATTACATAAAAATTAAAAGAAAATGTTTTAGTTGTTTATTACTTTGAATACAGGGTTCGATATTTTTCATCAAATCCGTACAAAGTTTTTTTGCGTTTGTAAAAATGAAAACAATTACTTATCTGCAATAAAAATAGGCTTGTTGACCGGCAAAAATAGTTGTACCCGACGGTCGGGACGTCGGGTACAACTATTTTAGTTACAATAAAGTTACAATATCTGGAGACACGTAATAATGGGACAACTAAGAAATTTAAGGGACTGGTTTAAATGCAGTTCAATAAAACTCTTAGAAGCAACGGTATATAGAGTGAAGATAGTGATAATGATCTACAACCTCCAATTGGGAGACGGTATTTAAAGAAGATCTTTAGACTCAAAATTCAATAGGAATTTTTCGTAATTGTCGACTTTACGGAGCTTCCTGAAACCTGCACTAGTCTACTCGTCTACGTAAAACCAACATTTGACTTACAAAGAGCCATACTAATAACAGTAAATAATATAAAGTAAAATTAAAACTTTTGAATCGCTTCTACGACAAACTCAGCCTCATACCAATTCATTCTTGGTGCCGGTTGTTCTTTGTCCCCTCTTTCGGCACTCAATCTTCAACTGCTCTTTGTTCAAATACAACAATTCGTCCGAAATTTTTAAGTTTTTCGGATTATTTCCGGTGGATGTTTGTTTCGTGTTCTGTGTGCTAAAGGCAGGACGAACCTTTCGATTTTTTTTAACGGGCATATTAACTTTTTTCGGTCAGTCTTCGGTTAGTTTATCTGGGAAAAATAAGTACTGGGGAATATTAGTAGGAAATGTTAGTTAATTTTGATTATTGCAGTATTAGTTACTGGTGTTAATTAGGAATAAGTGCTTGGAAAGAGGTGATACAAAGTTATAGGCCAGAAATAAAAAAGCTAAAACAATATTATACAGGTTTTTGAAGGTATATGAGGGATAGCTAATGACAAATCCTTAAAGACATACAGCTGATTTTGCCTTGTTTTTTTTTTTAACAATCATAGAGTGAAAAATTATTTTTTTGTCTATAAAACGTTTCTTTTATTAAAAATAATATATAAAATAAGATAATAATAAAAATTAAATAACTTTGGGTCAATCCATGCCAAGTGGTCCAAAGGTGGATGCTTGACTATTTTTAATATTTTTTATTTTTCTACCTTCTATACTTCAGTCTATAGACAGTACAAAATTGCATACATTTTATTTTTAAAAAATTTATTGTGCCGATGGCGGCCATTTTTGTTTTATCGTGTCGGTCATTTTCACAGAAAACATGGCTTCACTCTTTAGCCAATATTTTTACTTAGGTTTGTTCTAAAACAATAAATCAAAAACGAAACTGGAAACTGGATACTTTGGAAAAGTATGCTCTAAAAAAAATGGTCCATAGCATTATTTAATTACAAACTACCCTTAATGCCTTAAATTAACCTCAAAGTTTGAAAAGGTAAACTGATAAAATTCCGTTTTCAGCAGTGTTAACAACATAAGGGAAGCTGATAATGGTTTGTAATTTTTTTCTGGAATAGACATACATACATATACTTCATCTAATTTACATACCGATGCACGTCATTATCTACGTCAGAGATCGAAGTTGACATTAGTTGCCAAAGTATAAAAAAATCCTAACTCCATTTTAAATCAAATAGATCACATAATTTATTGCCAAAGTATTACCATCTCTTTACAACGACTATTTAAATTCTTACGTGACATTATTGAAATAAAACACACTAATTTTGTTATAAAAAGAACAAATTTTATTAAATAGGTACAAAATAAAACAAGAGGAATTCACTTTAAAATTCAAAACAATAAGGTACAAAAAGTGTCAACACCGCAACTGTCAAATAAGTGTTACCAATTTATGCCAAAATTTCACCTTCGTTCGATTACAGTTACCGTGTGTTCCGAACAAATGTTCTTCATAAAAACGCTTTATAATGCATTTATACAAATTAAATGAAACATATTATTGTGTATTTCTTTAAGTTAACATTAATAGAAATTTTTAAATATAATTTCTACGCGTATATAATAAAATATGTCTAGTGGATATAATGCCAGTGTACTCGACAAAGTGATTCTAAAAAAGAACATACCTATCGCCTAAATATTTAGTTACTAAAACCAGTTTACAATCAACTTGAAAAATCAAATTTTAACTACAAAAGATATGTTTCATTTCTGTTCACAGAATTTAAAAGGTATTCATATTATTATGTTGAAAGTGAAGAAATCCTAAAAACTTGTTTAAAAATTCCTGGCATTCTTTTCATCGAATCATACTAATCTCAGAAAATAAAGTCAAATGTTTTAAAACATCCCAGGCAACTAAATATTTAGAATTTTTCACAACAAGTGCTATCTCCATTTCCCTAAGTGAAAATGACGTAATAGCCTGTGTGTATGATGGAAAGTGGTGGCTATGGGTAATAAAAACTGTCAGCATTGAACATCATGACTTCTATGTGCACTTTTTTTAACCTTCTGGACCCAGACCATCATTTAAGTTAAGTGATCATGATGAAGCTTGGGTGCCTTTTCATGAAATCTTGAAGAAAATCACACCATCAGAACTAAAAACAGCAACTGGACGCAATCATAACGTATCTCAAGATTTATGCGATGAAATATCCCAACTTTTGAACTATCAACATTCTAATGAAAGTTGTGTAGTATAAATTTGTATTTATTGTGAAATTTGGTGAAAATACATTAATTTTTATTTCATTAGAAAGTTTATTTGAATTTTAATTACTGTACCGCAAACGTTCAAATTAATGATTTTTTGCCATTTTCTCAGGCCTGTAACTCCTATATGTCTTAATTCTACAACGTCAAATTTTTACCCCTTATTCTACTCATTAGGAACTAACATTCAGCCAAATTTCAAATGTTTACTTGCTTGCCCATCAGAAATACAAAGGTTCAAATTTTTTGAAATTTTTCAAAAAATTACATTTTTGAGATTTTTTTTGAAAAAATTTACTTAAGTCTCAAAGCTCAAACTTTTTTCATTTAAAGTATATATGTATGTCTTTTCCAGAAAAAAAATTACAATCCATTATCAGCTTGCCTTATGTTGTTAAAAAACATGCTGAAAACGGAATTTTATCAGTTTACCTTTTCAAAGTTTAAGGTTAATTAAAGGCGTTAAGGGTAGTTTGTAATTAAAGAGTGAAGCCACGTTTTCCGTGAAAATGACCGACACGATGAAACAAAAATGGCCGTTATCTGCAAAATAAATTTTTTAAAAATAAAATGAATGCAATTTTGTACTGTCTATAGACTGAAGTATAAAAGGTAGAAAAATAAAAAATATTAAAAATAGTCAACAACCAACTTAATTTATATTGGACCACTTCGTATGGATTGACCATTTTACGACCTACAACTTTCATTTGAACCACTTTTTTTTTTCTAAAATGTATAAGAAACATTTTACAAGTTAAAAATGATTTTTTCACTTTTTATGATTGCTTCTTCTTCTTCTAGTCATAGTGCCACTCCACTAATGAACGTTAGCTCTAAACATTGCAAATTCGTCTCTATCTTCTGCTTTTTTTGTTCATCCAGAATATTTATCGTCTACCAGGATCCCTTTTTGCTTCTATTTCACCATTTATAATCAGTTGCAACAACTTGTACTTATCATTTCTAAGTATGTGCCCCAAATATGCTATCTTTCGCCTTTTAATCGTGGTCAAAAGTTTGGATGCAGTTCAATTGAACTATTCAGGCGCGTAACCACAAAATTATAACTGCCAGAATGATTTCCAATCTCTGATAGGAGCAGAACTTGAAGAAGAAGAAAAGTTCTCTGTCTCTCCCCATTCTGTGCAACACCATTTCGTTCGTAATATGATCAGTCCATGATATTTTCAAAATTCTCCTAAAAAGTCACATCTGTAAATCAGCTGTACTTCTTTCAGGATTTGTCATCGCTATCCCTCATATACCTCTTAGAACCTCCAAAATCCTGTATAAGATTTTATGTGAAATTGTTGATCTTTTCACAGATCAACTGGTGTTGCTAATTGGTGAAAAAATCATAAACATTAAGTAGTTCAGGTAACAAAGAACAAGCAATTCTTATTTATTTTGTTTGTTAATACACAAAATAAGAATAAAACAAAAACTTATACATTGGAACTTGTAAACTAATGTCCTTCAGCATGTTGTTCTTCTAAACTTAAAATTGATTTAAGGATGAAATAAAAACTATCTCAACATTATTTTTACTTTGCTTCCTGAAAAGATATGTATACATAGACTAGGGAAATCTAAGACAAGGTTTAATTATTACACAAATAATTTTTATTTAAGCCAAATTCTGAAATATATCATAATTTTACATAATACGTATTTATACACGAATAGTTCTACAATGTGCCTCATGTAGAAGCCAATTGAAAATGAAAAATGGCACTGGGAAGCACAACAAAATGTTTGTTCTGTGCTGTCAATCCCACTTCCAAGGAAGAAATTCGTTTATGACAAGATCTAAAATATAGAAGTATAAAATATGATAGTCTAGAAGAATGTTTATCTTGCCGAAGTATAGAAGGCACTAGAAGACTGAGACAAGACAGTATCTCTATATAGGTACAATACATCATTGTTTTAGTAATCATTTTGGCTAAATTTTAAATTATTAAAATATATCATTATACACAAGAAGTTTTTACTTCTATGTATATTTTTTTAAATTCAAAGACAGTCAACAAATCAGAGATTTTAAGTAATTTATAGTGGAATAATGAAAAAAAGAGAGTTAATAAAGGACTGGCGTAGTTTTTATAAGGAAAATTAGAAGACGCTATAAATAATGATCAATATATCAATGAACAGTTTGTGGTATTAAAGTTAGTTAAAAATGATAAGAGGTAATAAAATCATAACAGCCATATATGAATCAGAGGATGCAAAACATAAAAAATGAAAATAATTTTAAGAAGATTTACTTACTATAGTAAAGCATCAAGAATTTAATAGAGAAACACATATGTAAAGAGAAATATGTTATACTTTCAATGCAACATTCTACTTTATCTATTTAACATGAAACACCCTGTATATATACAAAAAAATTATGTATTTCAGAATGTATGTTAAATAAACATCATTTGTGAAGTAATTAATTTCTTCTATTAATTCTTTTACATAAAAACACTTAATGATGTTGAAAAACTATTTATTGCTTTAAATAATTATTGTTTATATTTTTATGAGTACCATTTATAAGGTTATGAGTACCGTTTCAACCATATTTTATATTTTAATGTGTTCAAGACATCTTGTATCATATAAATATTACAAAAACATTATTAGCAAAACTGTCAGACATAGAATCACAAACAAAATAAGAAAACATCTCTAGAAAAATAAATATTTTGATACATACACATAAGAAACAAGATTAAACTGGTACAGTCATGTAAAAAAACCATTGACAACAGTTTGGTAAAGACAACAAAATAAATAAGAAGAAGGAAGATAGAAGAGGAATCAAAATGTGATAAAAATATCTGTGTGACAAATATCATGCTGACTATAGTGAGACAGATAGATGAAAAAGGTTTCAAGAAGGTTTTGGAAATTATAATATTTTTATACTATAATATATTTGCAACTTGTTTTATTATTGGAGTGTATTTAGTTCAAGTTGATTTGTCATATTTCTTTATCTTTTTACTTCTAATACAAACCATAATATACAAATACAGTGATACCTGTTTAAATAAATGTATATAGGTTTCTGATAATATAATGTTCTGAATACATTATTCAAGTTTTGTTGGCTATTTTTCATTGTTTCCCATTTGTATCAACTTCCTTGAAGCGTAGGTAGATGTGATTAAATGTATTTTATTCCATATCGAAATTGCAAGGTTAACAGCAAATCCAAAATGCATAATCGGTATAAAAAGACAAGGTCATTTATTGTTTTGTTAGTTCCAATATGAAATTAAATACACAAGGCATTCTTGAATTTTGTTGTTGCAATTGTTACAACACAATCAAAATAGAGAATAATGCTTAAAGTGTACTAACTATATTCAAAAATCCACAGCCTTGTATGACAACATATTCAGATAACCAGTGACACACGCGAAAGATCAATATAATTTTCAATTGACAAATGTCGAAAGTAAGCAATTTTGTCTGTCTATAATATAATCCATAACTATGTCAAGGCTTTTCTCATAAACTTCAAAGACAGTAGAATCTGTATGTAATTAAAAAGAGAATATATGTGATGTACTGGATTAAGAAATTGCGAAAAAGGAAAAATATGTGCTTTCACACCATATCTTAGCTCATTATGGTGCGTAAGACCAAAATATGAATAAAGGAATCTCATCAGTATTTAACAAAAAGTTTAGTTACTTGCAAGAGTTGAAAAATCAGCAGCCTAGAGTTGGTAAAGTGCTGCATTTAGAAATTTTTGTTTTCAGACACTAACTTTACAGAAAAAATAATTGTGGAGAGATGTGGCACAAATGAAATAAAACATTAAATAAATCACGTTCATGACACGCGTCAAAAGCTTTAGTCTGATGGATAAAACTGCAACCAAAACATATGTTGATATTGTAGTATATGGAAATAAATAACTTGAATTAAGTAAGTGGACACATGAAAAATAAAAAATATTTGCCTTAATTTATTATCACGCGCAAACATTTGGCAAAAAATGGAACCCATAACGTTAATTCGGATAATTTTTTATATGTATTTGATTTGCTCACGCAAAATTTACGATTTTAATAAATAATTGATGTTTTGATTAGCGGAATCTTTGTACCGCTGTATCACTGTAATTAATCAATTATCGCACAGTTTGGAATAAATTAGCCAACTCGTAGATAAACTACTACTTCAATGACTTAATTATCATTGATTTGCTTTAGAAATTAATAACTCAAACAGACAAAAATGTTGAAAACATGACATTACGTGTCCTTAGTATTCGGAAGTCAAAAAACCTGTATTTTTGAAATTGATAACATCACCAATTAATTAAACTAACAACGAGTCTTCTTAAATAAATCAATAAATTAAAAACGATGGATTTCGGCCACTGAATCACTAAATATTAATTAAAAAGTGAAACCTAACCTAAAATCAGTGCAATCTTTATATACTTAAACACTAGCAAGAAGCGGGCGTTCACGTATAAAAGGCTGTTTAATTGTAATAATTATGAATAAAAACTTACCTTTATAATGATATAGACAAAAAGCCACTTATTACGCACATTACCGTTAAAAAAACCAGAGAAGACAAAACTAACAACCGTGAAGTTTACTTGCTTCTACAAAAATTGTCATGAGAAATGAGAATCTGACAATCTGTCCATGGTCAAATCGAAATCATGCCATTTACCATGACAGTTGACCACTCGTAACTTACGTTCTTGATTACGATAGGCTGAGGTTGAGACTGAACTTGAAAATTTTACAATATATGCCTTACACTTAGGCAACCACTTTTACACAGAATCTGCATACATGAAAATATCATTCTAAAATAAATCGAATTTTTAAAAGTTAACAAAATAGATAATAAAAAAAACACAAACAAAATACACCCTTATCGATAACCAATGACTTACAATATGATTGTATTTAAGAAAAATTAATTTTGTATTTATATATCTAGACATGATCTAGTGAATCATAGTGAAAAACAAGTAGAAAAGAAGAAACAATGTGAGAAATTAACCTTCAACTTTGTTTATGTTTTCCACATTGTATCCTATGTTTATTTACGTTTTTAAATAAAAAATAATATATAAAAAATGTGCCTTCAGTTAAAACTATTGGACAGATTTAAATTATCGAATCATTTAGGAGTAAATTTTGCTTGTGAATATTCAGACGATAATAGATTTTTTATTATAAATGATACCACTCTCTATATATTTTCATTTAATGGTTCAGTAACAAATGAATTACTGAATTTTATGTGTAGAAAGTATATTTTAGTAGTCTCCGACTTTAGCCCTTGTCGTTGTATTGATATAGATATAAACACTTTTTATTTTAATTTACCAAAAGAAGACATATATGAAATTGTAATGAAAATAGAATACTCTAGCAATTTAAAAAATACAAAACCCTTAGACCCAGTTCCTCTTTGCGCGAAATGGTCTCCTAAAGGTTTAGCGGACAACAGTGGTTGTTTTTTAGGAGTTTAACTAATTTGTACAGTTTAGAAGTATATATGAAATATCTCAACAATTTGGAAGAGGTTAAATACTGTATTATATCAAACATTACAGAATCAATCATCGTAACTGAAAAAGTTAAATGGAGTGATGCTAATAGGTTTGCAAATAATATAAAATTGGAGGAATACAAAAGAAGAATAGGTGCTGTTACACCTTCAGGTAGTATCTTACTTTCTTAAAATTTATCAAATAGTTGTTTTATTTCCTCAAAAGTTTCAGTTATGTTATGTTTGTCCTATGTTTTGTATAATTAGAAATTTATGGTCATATTCTTACATATTAGAACTATATTTTAGAAGCCTCTAAATAGGTTCATCATTCTGCTTTTATTGATAGACTCCCCTATAGTTAAGTAATTCATTAACTTCTTAGTTTTTACAGGTTTCAACCTTTTTTCATTATAGATTTGACACCATTTTTTGCTTACCATATCTTCAGCTTATAATGTGACTTTTGTCCCTTTGCAATCATATTTCAGTATTATATCATCTGAATTTTTACTTGCGTGATAGAATGGTTAATTATTTGTAGGTTTTCTTAATTATTCTGTCGTTAATCTCTATAGTTTTATCATTTTTGTTACTTAAAACAACATAATATGTAACACAGAATAATATTATCTAGCATTTACTTGGAGCCATCTTATTAATGTTGGAGACATTAATAAGTGTGTTATATTCGTTGGACATCTTAATGGAGACATAACAGCATGGAGGTTGAAATCCAGGAGATATGATGATGGCAAACAAACCAGTCCTGAGTTTTTAGGGAGATACAGAACAGCACTGTCAAGAATTACATGTATGCAGTGGCACAAGACCAGCAAAAATGGTAAGTGATCTTATTTCCATAATGAAATGTAGACTAGAATATGACAAAACTGATATATTTTCAATTATGAGATCATTAAGAAAGAAATAACAATTACTAAAAAAATTAAAATTGAAACTATTGATATTATTTTGTTGTATTTCTTCTGTAGGAGGGGGATTATTCTACTCAGACATAGAAGGACAAATGAATGTTGTATATGTTACATATTTAAACACATCAGAAGCCGTTTTTGTCAAAGACTGTTCATTTTTGACAGAAAAGAATAAAGTGAAAGTTGAAAAAATAAGTGTTTTTGAATATAATGAGGAGACATTTATATTGGTTGCTAAGCAAAGAGTGCTAATTATTTTTGGAATTAATAAAATGGGAGAGGTTTTTGACTGCTGTGTTGTATACATTCAGAACTATTACATAACAGGTAAGAATATTATGGATGCATGAAAAAGTACATAGAATGTTTGTCTCATTTATGTATTAGTTTGTTTTAACATCATAAGGTTATTATTACCTATGCCAAAAACAGTAATTTTTTAGTTTAAAATAAAACTAATTTGTTTTAGGCCTACACTACATAGAAAATAAAGTATATGTATTGTCCCTCCCGGGAATTTTAACAGAATTAACTGTCGATGTTCAAGGGACAACAAGATATCCACCACAAAAAACGTTGTATCATTAAAGAATGACATGGAAAAATATCGAACCCATGGATTTTTCTTCACAAAAACAAATATCATGTTAGTTATCATCGCATATCCATGGGATCTGCAAAGTTTTTCCAAATCGGGTCTTATGTAAATGTGTTTGTTTATCATAATGTGCAGTTAAAGCCTTTTGATTTGCTGTGGAATTACCAAGGTGATAGTATAGAGGATTATTGGGACTGTTTTGAAACTTTAAGGTAAGTTACAGTAGGTACTCTGACTTAAGAATCAATTGAGCTTTTTTTGTTCATCATATTTTTGTTTTAGAATAGTGTGTATCAAAGAAAAACGTTTTCCTTGGCTGGGTCTTCCTAACGATCTCAACTATGACACACTGTCTACAACGAAACTGAAAATCTTACGTTTGGTATCGCAATTGTCCGAAATGGTATTCGCGGTAATACCAACCGTTAAAACGTACGATATAAAACCGTTTATTATCCTCCACTACTTAGTAACAATCAAACTGGTTATAGAACGAATGACACGGCTGTTTAATAAAAGAAAAGAGACCAAACTGAGCGATTTTCAAATGCGGAGTATCTTCATCCAGAATTTTTTCCTCAAAGAGATGGTAGCGAAGAATATTTTGCCGAAGGCTAACGTTGGAAAAACGTTTATTGACGGCATGATTGAAGTTATGAGAATTGCGAACGAATTGGAGTATCCAGAGCCTTTGGATTGTGTGTGGTGTGGAGACAATATCCTTTGTGGTACATTTTATATGTTATAAGTGTTTTTATTTTATATGTTTATTCGATAAGTTAAGATCGATCTTGGTGAGGTGTATATCATTTTGAGTCTTGATCGTTTCGGTGATAATTCGTCTTGATATATCGTTTCAAATGTTCGCCAAAACGTCATACTCTTTTTTATTGTCTAATTATGTTTATAAAACTTACTTGACGTTTTAAACTAAACGTGTCTAAACTATAGTTCTAAGTTTGAAATGAATTTTAAAATTTTTCTTAACAAAATAACACAGATCTTAGGTCCAGTATGTTTTCCTCCACATGTAGATACCCGTTGCTGCATTTCGATGATGCCGATGTTCGTGGTGGCTGAGTATAAATGCCCTTATTGTAAATCGCTGGCTCATAAACAAATAGAAGAAGAATATTCACCGATATATTGCCCTTATTGCGATGTAGTAATGGAAAGAATTATTATGGCCGACGAACAACTGAAGGAAAAGTGTCGACTTTTCGAACTCGAAACGTCAAAGCAAAAACTGGATGTTTGTTTTGCGGATTGTTTGAAAGAGAAGATCGATGTGAACGAAATCGAAGAAAATGATACAGAGTATATTATTTTCAGGCGGACAGCGATGAAGAGTCATCTGACAGTATGATAGAACTTTATAAAGAATTTTCAAAAGCTGGGATCAACGACAAAGACGACTAATTGGAGAAATCGTTTTGTTTTAAGGTAATAACAGTTTTATATAAATAAAGGTTATAGCGGGATAAGATGGTCAAAAGCGCCTCCGCACCGATCAGCACATGGATTTGTGCTTTCAATAAAGCATAAAAAACATGACCATTACAAATTTTAGCTGCCCAGAGGCTATAGGACCTCTTAAATCTAAAAAAGAAGCTTTTTTCGACTGTATTTTTTCTGGACGCAATTTTGCTTTAAAAAATCATGAAGATGTATTGTTTCAATTCAAATATGGTTGTATAAATTAATCAATACATTTGTCCTCCCCCCGTATGTCACCCGAATCCTTATGGTTACCGGATCGGGAATGCATCCCAGCCTAGGAGAATAGAGTTTGGAGTCGTTAAAGAGCGAGAGCCGCAAAGCCGCACTAGTGCATCGATGCATTTCATATTGAAGGTGGCTTTGTTTTCGTTGGTCTTTATTTAATAGTAGTTGTATCCCATGGTAATTATAACGGTAAGACCTTCACTAGTGTTTACCTAAAACATTTAAATATAATTTTTGATTGTTTATTGCAACCCCATTTATAATATTTTCTATAATGATTTACACCTACAAGAGGTTAAACCTTCTTTTATTCTAGGGCCAGAGCTAATCGGAAGGGAACTAGTTCGTATGAATTTACATACTATTAATTCGTAGTAATAGTACAATTATTTGTTTAATCCCCCACATGTATCTTTGGAAGTACTACAATAACAAATTTTTATATTGAAAACTTAGCCTAGGAAAAATCATTGAAATTTTTAATAATTTCTGTAGGTTTATGTTACTAATTTTTGGCCCCCTCTAAATTTTTAATATTAATTGTTTATGTATTTTATTTTCTTTTCTTTTGATAATGGCCACAGGGCAGAATTTTACAATTTCTGAGCATGTAACGCATCGAAAAAAATAAAATAAAAAAACCGTTTTTTATACTGATATTATTGGCACATAACCTCAAACTCAGGTGGTAATTCAACATTTTACAACATTTTTTTCTTCCCCATTAACAAATTTCTATTGTAAAAGTCTCCATTTAACATCTTTTCAATAAGGATAAATATTCGATTAAAATACCACCGTTATTTTTTTTTAATCATTTTCCTCATTTTTTTTTCCTGTACCTCAACTGCAAATATGTAGAACTGTAACGCTTTTTCTTCTATTTTAAATTTCAAATTCTCAAAATTGCAAAAAAATCGCGTTTTTTTAATATTTTGTAGCATTTTGCAAAATTCCCATTGATTCTTGATAATATATAGATATATATATATAATAAATATATAGAAATATAAATATATATATATTATATATAAAAATCTGTATATATTGATATATATATGCTATATCAAAAATAATATCTAATAATATATAGTTACCTAAAAATCACAATTGGCACCAGAGAATATAAAAACCAATATCGAAGATTATATACTAAATCTTAAAACACACCTTAAAATAATAGAGATAAGCTCCAATGTAGTATGACTCTCTACCCTAGTAAATAATGGTAATAGAAAATCTAGATTGGAGAAAACGTCCAGAAATTTACTCCGGAAGATAACACAGCTCACAAGAGTGATATTGAATCTGCAAAAAAATTGTACAAAGCCTGTAGCATAAAGTGAACATTGTATTACAATGGGCCATCACGCACTAACTATGATCAAACAGAAATATTGAGAAGGGAAGAAATTACAACAAAAGGACTGTTTCTAGAAATGTGTTTAATTAAAACTACACAAAACACCTTAAACAAAAGAGAAGACATTGAAAATCTTAGTGCTATATACAGTAATCTTCTTTTAAATAAAAGAATAACAATATAAAAGTTCTTAAAAGTTACGCATATGAAAGGGATTACTCTCAAGTTCAAATGAGATTTAAAATTTATTTTATTGTGTATTTTTTCCTTTCTTAAATACTTAGTAACATAAACTCCTGTTGCTTGTTTAATAACTAATATTATATCAAAATTTGCAATGAAGGTTTGCATAAACATAGACACTTCTTCTGTCAAACTCACCTAAAATAAATATAACACAAATAGCAAGAGATTTTGGCAACCTTAGTAATAAGTTTTGTCATAAATAAAAAGTAAATCAAATTTAATGTCTTTATGTTAATGAGATAATGACAAAATGTAAAATATTTGCTAATTTTAAAAGACAATTCTCACAAGGGTAAGCCTATTTAAGACATAAGAACTTCATTTTTCTAATGTAAATTTTTTATGTTAATTTTTATTATGTTATGTTTGAAAAAGAGTGAAAATAAACTCGAAAGCTGCTAGACAAACCTCAAAACAGATGTTTTACTTAAAGGCCAATATATTCGACTACTAAACCCAATATATCCGTTATATTACTCACATAGTCACTAAAAGCCCATTCCTAAGCAAAGAATATATAATATATATATAATGAAATCCCCTCATATATGTTATAAAAGTAACGAGGAATGATTTGTATGTGTATTTCATGTCCCATCGGTATCTGTACGACATAGAAAACCCAATAAATTTCAAATTCTTCTTCTAGGTCGGTTCGGAGTTAATATAAAACCATATTAGAGTTGTTTATTATTTGAATCAGATGTGGTACTTCCTCGAGTCATGCTTTACGTTTTTATATAATGCGTCTTAATTCCCCGTTTGTGTTTTGTTTCTACTAAGTGCTTTGTTTATTCCAACTTATGCGATCAATTTTAAAAGATAATTTCATCACTCTCGTTGGAGCCGCGATCAAGAGCGGTCAGCGTTATATCCAAATTAACGTCGTATTTGTTAAGTTTTCTGTTTTTGCCCCTTTTTATAGAAAATGTGTAGTAGCAGTGTGAAGTTAATAGTTCAGTTAATGTTTGAGTGAGGATTGGAAGAATTGTCGTTTCCATCCTCGTTTTGTTTTTACCTGATTGTAATCCCAGACTTTTTGGCAGTATGGAGATAGATTTGTTCGTGTGTTCGTTTGCTTGCTCTATCTCCACCCCATAATTTCTGTACCCAATTTTCTACCCCCATAATCTTACCTTATGGTAGGCAAAATACTATCGTTACAATTTTCCCACTTTATTGCCTCGTAACCTTATTTTTGATCGCACCCTTCAATTTTGTTATACTATTTGTGTTTTTTTCTTAAATAGTCAAAACTTGAAAAAAACTGTTTCTAAGCATTATTTCTATGTTTCTAAGCATTATCTCTAGGATCACCTCAATAGGACAAGAATATTTACCGTAAAAATACGGTTTTTTTTATTTTTCGATGCTTTCCGCTCAGAAATTGAAAAATCTGCCTTTCCATTCAAAAGAACGAAAAAAAATACATGAAAAATTACTATTTAAAAGTTAGCCAAAAATTATTAACATAACCTAAGAAATAATTGAAAATTTCAATGATTTTTTTATTATTTTATTTTATTATTATTTATTTAATACTAAATTAAACCTGTGTCAAAATCGTCCAAGCTGGATTTTAGGACAGATTTCAATCTTTTGTTGTTAGGCGTCCAAAGTGATGTAAAAGCAATTTTTTCTATATACTTTATTAAACGAGAGATCTGTTTTATTGCACTTAAACTTACTCCCGGTGTTAAGGCAACATGCTCCTTTACTTTTTTAAAATCTTTGACAGGCTGATTTTGTACCGATTCTCCAGTATAAAAACAATTACATTGGCTATTACCTCCTTCGTTTGCCCAAACAAGACTTTTGTCTTCTAATCTTGATCGAAATTCCATGTTAATAAAGTATTTTTCTTGCCATCTGTACAAGCACCTTGCTTTAAGTGATCACGGAATAATAATGATGAATTATATTGTTGTTCTCTGTACATCGGAGGTGGAGTCTGATATCAAAAAGTCCAAATCGCAAGCTAAATTTGAAGACCAGTACATAGTACATTAGTGGGGTATTGATAATATCAATGCTACAATGCTGGATTGTGATGTAATATTTTGTAAAATGCAAACAAAACATCTGAAGCAGTTGATGTAAATTTGTTTACTCTGTTCATTGCTATTTAATCTAGAATATTGTTTTTAAGTACTCAATTTTGGAATTTGAGGTATGTATATGTTTTTAGGTTGATAATTAGTGATATGTAGATTGGAGTAAGCTGGAATTCCACAGTTTGATTAAACATAAAAATATAGAAATATCAAAACCTGGGATGGATACGTTAAAATCCTCATATCAGAGGTCGAGATTAACAAAACTACCGGAGTAATATTAAAATGTTACGAAAATCATTGTTAAAATTCCAGAATACAAATTTGTATACAAATATATACAAAGTAAGATGTCAATAAATAAGCAAAAAGGAATATTACTTCAAAACAATGGTTTTTATATTTATTTTTGTAACTTGTGATAAATATGTTTAGAAAAAAAAGAGTATTTCTGTTTTATTACTTATTTCCTTTTCAGTTTCCTAATATTATTCATTGAGTTTTGTTGAAAGCTCTCCAGTCACAACTTTTTTTAGGGAGGAATAGAAAAACACATTTGTATTTACGATTAATGAGAAAATTTTAAGAGTGTGGCTCATTATTCTGATTAATCGATATTCTGAGCATTTTCTCGCATTGTGTTTTTTAAGTATTGCGACAAAGATGGATTTGAGCCAATCTGTGGGAATCACTCCGGTGTTATATATTGAATTAAAAAGTCTTACTACTACTTTTATGTTATTATCCTCTATTAGTTTCAACAACTCAGTTAGTCTTTTATCTGGACCATCTGTAGCAAATGACTACGGCAAAATAATGAAAGACACAACTAAAAAATTAAATATTTAATGGCAGCACTAGCATTTACAAAAAATTAACAGTTAAAAATAAAACTGACCTGAGAAAACAAAAAAAACTGAGCGATTGACAAAAATACAATTAATTTTCAGCATCTTGTTTTAGTTTCTTGACATAAATATCATACTCTTTCAAATTATTTTTCATATCATCAATGTCTTGTTCTAAAACACTAATCCTAGACTTCAACATAGTTATTTCTTCACCGTTTATGGTTTCGTTCGCAATCAAGGCACCAGGTGGCGCTTCCCTTTTGGCCAATACGTGCCTTTTTTCAGTTCTGAAGTCAACGTGACATCCTCTCTCCGATCTTTCAAAATACTGACAATCTGCAAAGCATTCGTACCAATACCGCAAATCTACTTTTGGTGGTTGATCACAGCTAACGTATCCTCCTTGGATTTCTGGTAGTCTAAAAACATCTCTGGTTATTCTGGTAATATTATCACCGTTGTCGCAAATGGCTCGGGCAAGATTAAATTGTTTGATTTGAGCTAATTGGTCTGGTTTGAAGACTGATGGGTTTTCGTAGTAAAAACGGTCACCGTCTCTAAGACGTTTAAATTGCTCGATCAAGATACATTGGAAAAGTGGACCTACTTTGCCTCCATCAATTTGATCTTCCAAAATTCCTAAAAAGAGAGATATTAATAAAAAAACAATACGCGAAAATGCGGTCAATAAAATACAAGACACAGGCATATCACTAGTTGCAACATTAGACAGGAAAAGGCAACAAACATTCACATGGTGTTGACTGTGGTCAATTATGAGTCGAAATGTGTAGAATATGCATCGAACAGCATTAAATATACTTAAAAAAGCATTGTAAACCTATCAAAAAGCATTTAGATCAGTCGTTCTAACCGTTGGATTGATAGAGAAACCGTTTTGAGTAGGTATTTTGAAATAATGCAACTGACGATGTTACTATTTTGGTCATCACGGTAGAATGTAACTTCCTCAATGCGAATAATAGCTGAACTACGACGTCTTGTGCAGCCAGCTGTAAATTTCCATAGTAGGTATATTTGGGCGTATTCTGCCGTTACCGGTTAGTTTACCACTTCGCTTTCATTTGAAACACGAGAAGATTTTCTACTATATCTTGTAACGGATTATACAAAAAAAACCCATAATGAAATAAAAATAATTTCAAGGCAAACACATCAGCAATAATGGAAGAAGTTTATTAGTGACATTGAGAATTAGTTACATGGAAGATAAAATTGTCCATAATGATAGAACAAATGAATAGAATATATAATAATACAAACATACACAGAAAACACGTTTTAGGCACATTATCGATAAATTTTGAACTTAAATTTGCTATTTTAAGAGTTACTACATTGCACACTCGTCCCTGGACCCATAACCTGTTAAAAACGCCGGGAAAACAAAACACATATACTTGCTACGAATATACAACATAAATTGAAACTTTGTTCTTAATAGAGATGGCTTACACAGCGCAACCGTTAGAAAATACTGACAAATCATGAATACCTACTCGAACAACGAGAAAATAAAAGACTAATGATATATTCTAAAAACTATAAACCAAGCAATGGCAAAGCGAAAAAATGCCAATGCAATAACACGATTCTGATCTATCAATACACAGAACTATAAGTACGTTCCATTAGTGACACCTTAAACAGACCTAATATCTATGCAACCATTTAAACGTGGATGTATAGAGCCCCAAAACATCCAAGGCGATAACCATTAATATCATAAAGATATTTTTATGATACGAAAAGTGTAACAATAAATAAACACGGCATGCGAAAATATTCCAATAAACTTACCTCCAACAAACACGTCGATGTTTCCAGGATGACCATACAAATTTTGCAATTTCCTCCTAACATTCGCATCACTAATATCATACTTTAGATCGTCAAAGCTGTTTACAGGTGTCATATTACAGAACTTTCTGTATTCAAGATACTCAGGCAGAGCATGGTCCCTTCCTCTATGTACATTCATTGCTGCTAGGTCAAGAGCAACTGCATGAGCTGCTTGAAACAGTGTTTCCGTCAATTCAGAGTTGAGATTTTCATCTGGTTTTTTTATTTTTGCGGCGACCGTGAAGAAACCTACAATTTTTTTAAATTTTGGAGTAAAGTAGAGAAACTAATAAACGATACTTATTGATAATATGTACTAAAAGCTATATAAATAAAAATTTAAAAAGACTAAGGCGAAATATGCTTAAATGATTAAAATATCCTAAATAAAACCTTGTCTGTTACGCAAAATTACATTAAGATGAGTAGGTACATGAAACTGAAATATAAGAAATTGATTTAGATTCTTCAGGAAACGTACTTTATATCACATAAAGGCCTATTCTCACTATAGTGCCAGGCATGTGCTCGGCATGTGCCCTGCTCGAGACGTGCAAAATTACTTTAACGTATATTTAAATGGGTTTAGCGACGGTCCGTTCTCTACCTACAAAAGTGCTTGGAGTGGGAACGGTCCGTGCCCGGCATCGAACAATCTTTTCAAACAATATTTTCCTAGCCCATGCCTGGCACATTCCTTGCACAGGTCCCTCCATAGTGTGAATACTTCAGACGAGTTTCGACAGGCAAAAGGTGCGAAAAAATTATTTTCGCATGATAATAATGAATTTTTAATAGAATTAGTTCGTGAGAGAGAAGTGAAATTATACGATTTTATGAATCGACTGTATGCAGATACAGCACATAAGTCTCAGGTATGGTGGGATATTGGAGAAAAAATTAAAATAGGAATAATCAAACAACTATATTTTTATCTAGGTAATAGACCCACTGCCCGATAATATTTCAATACAAAAAAAAAATATAGTAAGGATGACCACTCGGTTGGAAAAGAACGATGTATATGGACAGAAATAAAGGAAAAATAAATCTAACGGGCGACCTGAAGTTCGGAAAATGGAGAGGGAGGTGAGTTTTTTTAAGGACAAAAATTGGGTTTTATCGTGGATTTCCTAGAGCAATCGGCACGACGTATCTACTAAAGCAAGTAGAACTACCGACGAAAATCTTTTTTGTAGTTATAAAGTATGCATGGGAACCACTATTGAATTGGTGCTAATAATTTTTACTGTGATATTTCATCTAGGGCTTCTAAATAGCCCATGGGAAAATTCCACGACAACCGAAATTTTTTTTGGCAATTTGTTCAAAAATCGCATTCGACCTAAATTTCGGCAAATGACAGTCGTATAATATAAATATAGTAAATATATAAATCATATATATAAATAATATATATATATAATATATAAATATATATATATATCATATATAATAGATAGGTACACAGAATCTGCACAACCCCTAAAATTGCAACCCCAAAAAGTCGCAACCCCTCGGTCGTAAGTTCCAAACGGCTGAACGTAGGGATGACGTACGAGGGCTCGTTGGAAAGGGGAAGAAAAATGGGGTTGAATGCAGTATGTGCCGTGCGCATCGGAGCAATGCCAAAAGGTCATTATGGGGTATCTTCGTTTCTATTGGTCCGATCGGGCGTACGAGGGCTCGTTGGAAAGGGGATGAAAAATGGGTTGAATGCAGTATGTGCCGTGCGCATCGGAGCATGCCAAAAGGTCATTATGGGGTATCTTCGTTTCTATTGGTCCGATCGTGACGTACGAGGGCTCGTTGGAAAGGGGATGAAAAATGGGGTTGAATGCAGTATGTGCCGTGCGCATCGGAGCATGCCAAAAGGTCATTACGTCATATCTTTGTTTCTATTGGTCCGATCGTGACGTACGAGGGCTCGTTGGAACGGGGAAAAGGCAGGGAGACAAAAAACAAAGATGGCGGCGTTGCCAAATGGGCGCTAAAACGTATCTTCGTTGCTATTGGTCTGATTTTGACGTATGAGGTGTCAAAGCGTTGGATGTCACGTGTCATTCGACGCAGGACGTGACATTCGACGCAGGACGTGACATTTATGTGACATTCGACACAAAACGTGAAATGTCACGTGAATTGATGTGACATTCGACGTAGGACATGACATTTGACGCAGGACGTGACATTTGACGCAGGACGTGACACGAGGGCTCGATGGAACGGGGATGAGACGGGGAATACTTTGACACAAAAAAAAAAAACAAAGATGGCAGCATGTCCAAATGGGCGCTAGAATGTATCTTTGTTGCTATTGGCATGATTTTGACGTATGAGGTGTCAAAGCACAGAAGCCATGTCAACGATCAGTATGAACATTCTTCTTCTTCTTCTTCTTCTTTTTCGGACAGTGGCTAGGAGAACGTTGACGAAGGACGTGACATTCGACGCAGGACGTGACAGTTATGTGACATTCAACACAGAACGTGAAATGTCGTGAAATTTGACGCAGGAGGTGACAGGTATGTGACATTCAACACAGAACGTGAAATGTCGTGAAATGACGCAGGACGTGACATTCGACGTAAGACGTGTCATTTATGTGGCATTCGACACAAAACGTGAAATGTCACGTGAATTGACGTGACATTCGACGCAGGACGTGACATTCGACGCAGGACGTGACATTTATGTGACATTCAACACAGGACGTGACATTCGACGTAAGACGTGTCATTTATGTGGCATTCGACACAAAACGTGAAATGTCACGTGAATTGACGTGACATTCGACGCAGGACGTGACATTCGACGCAGGACGTGACATTTATGTGACATTCGACACAAAACGTGAAATGTCACGTGAATTGATGAAATGTGACATTCGACACAAAACGTGAAATGTCACGTGAATTGATGTGACATTCGACGTAGGACGTGAAATGTAGGAATTACGTGACGTGTGACGTTGTGACGTGACGTTCGACATTTTAAAAGACAAAGACACAATAACAGAGGGAAACACAGCGTAGCAGAGGGTAGCAGAGGTACACAGAGGGTAACAGAGCGTCATAACAGAGACATTCAGACGCCTTTAGTGACACATATGCAGCGGCACGAGGGAAATACCAGCGTAAAATCGTTTTATTCGACTTCGAATAAATTGCATAGTTATTATCGCCAACAGAACATCGAGGCTTATTCGTAATCATATTCATAACAATTCGGGTGATATACAAAATTAGCGAATACAAATGGTAAGCTGAATACTATATTTAATCTACGGCATTTCGGGCAATATTTTATTTGTAGGTTGGTATTGTGCTTCGGTAAATATATATTTCCACCAACAATCCGTACCAGTTAAACTGACACTACAGCATCTCATACAAAATAGGTTAAATATAGAATTAAAAACAATTAACATAAAAAAACCTATATAAGTATCAACGTTAAATTCGACGATAATGCTTAGTCACGGTACAGCTGAAAGTAAAAAAACCATTGAAAAGCCACTCATAAATGTCAAATATGCTTTACAGAGGTACAATGCTAAACATATAATAAAACAATGTTAAATACTACCAAAATAAATACGTGCAAAAAAAAAAAAACATAAGCAAAATATAACGTGAAAATGCTAAAATATAATAAACTATGTAAACTACAATAAAAAAAAAAACACCCTACAAACAACGAAAAGCATTTTTTAAAACAGAAGAGGTACTAATGTGTACAACAAGTTAAAAAAAAAGTAATAAACACGTACTGACAGATAGCAAATAACCTTCAAATAAAATCGAGATGCAATGAAGTAATAAAACACTTATTGATGGATAGGAACTAATAATCAAAGCAGTCAACATGCAATGAAAAATGCATTAAAAAACATCAAACTTATAAGAGGCATCCTGCAAAAAGTAATAAGCACCAACAGACTAATAGGAAATAATAATCAAAGCATTTGATATGCAATGAATATACATTAAAAAAAAAATCATCAAAATTATAAGGGGAAACATGCAAAACAGTAATAAACACCTACCCGTCGGAAAGCTAATAAAATACAGTTAATACAATAAATCATAATGAAATATGCTAAAAACGAGACATGAGACAAAAAATTAGCGACAATTAACAAAGAACATAAAAAAAAAAAACGTTTACAAATAGCTGAGTACATATCCGATATACGTAATCTTTGAAAAACGAGACAAAAAGATGGAACTTCAGTGAAATATGTTAAAATACAATAAAACTATGTAAACTATAGTTAGAAAATTAATACCTACAAAGAAATAAGCAAAAAATATATATACCGAACAAACATATCTTAAAACAGAAGAGGTGCTAATGTGTAAAACAAGAAGGAATACAACCTCAAGGCAAATACACTGTCTCACAAAAAAAAAAAAAAGCAAAGAACAAAGCCGCCTTGTAAATGTCGTGAAAAATATTAAAAAACATCAAAAACATACACATAAAATGTAAAAAATGGAGAAAGCAATCTAGCATTTAACATGTAATCATAGCAATAAAAAACAACACAAAGGACAAGAGGTATTATACATAAACAAAAATTACTAGTTACTCCCCGACGGTAAAATAAATTACCAAAATACTGCTAAAGGTAAAGGTAAAAACAGTGCAAAAATAGTAGAGTATAGCTAGACGTAATCTTTGGAAAAAATGAGACAACCGAACGAAAATCTGTAAAATATGCTCAAATATAATAAACTTATGTAAACTGCTGTCGCAAATAAAGAACTACAAAGAAATACACAAATATACTTAGGTAATATGCTAAAAAATATAATAAATACTACATGCAAATTATTGACAAAAATAAATACCCGCAAAAGTAGAGCAAAAAAAAGTTAAATAAATACCGAATTACATGAAAACTATGTAAATTACAGTCACAAATACATACGTGCAAAAAAAAAAAATAAGAAAAATAAAAACACATATCTTAAAATCCAGAATACAGCATGCGTGGATGTAAATACAAGCAACCGTATATCACATATTACCTTCTTTAGAACTGAAGACACTCTAGAAACAGGCAGTATGTAATACTCATTACTTGTCTGATTAAACACTATTTGCGAAAACACTTACACTAACACAGCGACCACAATGTTCTCAGAAAATAACACAGAAAACAGTAGACACACGCCGCTTTTACTGTTAAATATCACAGAATACTAGCGGTATGTAACAATATAGTTTCTGAAACGATACGA